CTCAGAGTCACTCGACCACTAAGCCACATCCCCAGCCCTATTTTGTACTTTTTTCAGAGACAGGGTCTCACTGAGTTGTTTAGCACCTCACTTTTGCTGAGGCTGGCTTTGAACTGGGGATCATCCTGCCTTAGCCTCCCAAGCCCCCCCAGATTACAGGCATGCTTCATCGCACTTGGTTAGATCATACTCTTATTCCTTATTCTTTTTGATTTTCTATTACATAAAGAATTATTGAATTGCAATTAGGGTAAATTTTGTGCAGAGAATAAAGCATTTTGCTACTGCATATAGTAAAAGGAGAGAGCTACACTTTTTAGAAGGGTGTTCAGAATGTTTTTCTGGAGGTATTTATGCCTAGACTTGAAGGGTCTGGGAAGGAAAGGCACTCAAAGAGCCAGGGGAAGCATGTTTCATACAAAAGAAAAGTATAAAAGGAATTGACTTCCTTAATAAGACTTTGTATAGTGGAAGAATTAAAATTAAAATAAATGGGATGGATTCAAACTAAGAAGCTTCTTTTCAGCAAAAGAAACAATCAGTGAGGTGAATAGAGAGCCTACAACTTGGGAACAAATTTTTACCACACGCACATCAGATAGAGCACTAATCTCTAGGGTATATAAAGAACTCAAAAACCTTAACACCAAAAAACCAAGTTACCCAATCAATAAATGGGCCAAGGACCTGAAGAGAAACTTCTCAAAAGATGATATACAATCAATCAACAAATATATGAAAAAATATTTGACATCTCTAGCAATTAGAAAAATGCAAATCAAAACTACTCTAAGATTCCATCTCACTCAGAATGGCAGCTATTAAAAATACAGAAGACAATAAGTATTGGTAAGGATGTGGGGGGAAAGGCACATTCATACATTGCTGGTAACTGCAACTTGGTGCAGCCAATATGGAAAGCAATATGGAGACTCCTTGGAAAACTTGGAATGGAACCACCATTTGACCCAGCTATCCCACTCCTTAGTCTATACCCAAAGGACTTAAAAACAGCATATAATCAATGTTTATAGCAGCACAATTCACAATAGCTAAACTGTGGAATCAACTTAGATGCCCTTCAATAGATGAATAGATTTAAAAAATGTGGTATATATACACAATGGAATACTATTCAGCATTAAAAGAGAATAAAATTTATGGTATTTGCAGGTAAATGGATAGAGTTGGAGAATATAATGCTAAGTGAAGTTAGCCAATCCCAAAAAGCCAAATGCTAAAAGTTTTGTCTGATATAAGGAGGCTGATTCATAATGGGACTAGTGGGGGAGCATGGGAGGATTAGATGAACTCTAGATAGAGCAAAGGGGAGGGAGAGGAAGGGAAGGAAAGGGATAGAATATGGGGGTAGGAAAGGTGGTGGAATGAGATGGACATCATCACCCCAAGTATATGTATGAAGACACGAATGGTGACTCTACTGTGAATATAACCAGAGATATGAAAAATTGTGCTCTAGGTATAATATGAATTGTAATGCATTCTGCTGTCATATATAACAAATTAGAATTAAAAAAAAAATTAAAAAAAAGAAACCCTGAGTTTAGCTAGAGGTGGATATGTTTAAAAAATTATTTAAAAAATACCAGTGTATCTACCATGCAGAGGGTTTGGAAGAGTGCTTCAAGGTGAAATGTGAGTGCAAAACCAGGAAGGCTGTGTTACTAATGGATGTGGCATTCATTCTGATCTCAGGTGGAGAATGCAGAGCAGGTGTCAAGTCAGAAGATCCCAGCAGACTTTCAGGAGAAATGTAGACTTAGGTAGGCTTAGTCTAAGGTTCTCAACAAGAGAAGTAGACTAGAAGTGGGCAATTAAGAGTATATTATGAAAATAGGATTTCTGAAATTTTTTATAAAATTGGATGTGTAAGATTAAGGAAAGGGAGAAACTGATTATGCATTTATACATCCAGCTAATATTAATTGAATATCCTTGCTATAGCAAGGCCATTCCTTGATGCTGGGAGATAGAAATGTTCTAGACCACTTTCATCAAATCCAGAAATATGGGATAGGCAACCCAGTAATTAAATAATACACCTTCAGGCAAAGAAGGGGCTACGAAGACACACAAGGTAAGGAAGCAGAAATTGACAGGTGGACTCTTCATGGTAATTAGGAAGAACTAAAGGGAAGAGTATTTAAACTGAAATGTGATGAATAAAGGGAGTTAGCTGAGTGAAGTTCAGGAGCAAAAGTTCTCAGACATTGATTAACAAGTGGGAATGAACTCACTCAGAAACTTGAGAATCCTGTTGTGACTGGAACAGGGAGCTGGGGAGATGGGGTCATGGAGAGCCAAGGCCAAATCATGAGGACACTTAAACTTGGCAAGAAATTTAGATTTAATTTAAGTAAAATCAGAAAACCTTTATGGTTTAGGGTAAAGAGGTGAGGTGAATTGATTTATATTTTTAAAAGATTACACTGGCTTTTGTAGGAAGTAATGACTAATGGAACAAGAGAAGAACTAGGGGAAAAAGCTTGCAGACTATTGTTGTATTGACAGCACCCATCATATTGAAATGGTTAGATTTGAGCATTTTAGAATTGCTGATAAATTAGATGTAAGAAGCACAGTTTTTTATAATTTGATGCAATTGGAAATCCAATATTTTCATATATTA